CAAGGGCCCCGCGCTAAATGCTTTAAAAGCAATCAATTCCGTTCCAGTAATTCTGCACTTGCTATATTTACTATAGTAGTATACTGCCTTCAACTTTTACGAACGACTAGGTGTTTGAGGTTAGCGATTTGTCGTATTATCTGGCTGTATAGAAAATTAAAGAATACAATTACTTTACTACGCAAGTAACAAAATTGTGTTTTAATATCTACGTGTTTTTTTTTAAATATTTAGGGCCCCTTTATACGATATGATAAAGGCTCCGCACTTAGCTTTATCCGGCACTGATCACCGCCACTCTAGACGGTACAAAGCAGGCGTCGGCATACCTGCGGGTCCAAAGCCGCATGCGGTGTGTGCTCTTTGAGGACTGCAGCTTCGTGATGACGTTTATTTAGCAAGGGACCCCCCCCTCCCCCCCACCGTCTCGTGTTCACCACAGAGTGCATTGCGATCCTTGAAATATCGAGGGGTGTTTTGTTGTTGTTGTTTTTGTTGTTGTTGTTGTTTTTGTTATCGAATTCGAAAAAAAATCATATTCTTGTTATTTTTTGCCGACCCACTGCTATTAATTATAACTACAAATACATGTTGTTTATAGAGGGTGGGCCCAACAGTCTGGAATCGTAGGGAAAAATGACGAATTCATATTTGTTTATTTCTGCAGGCCCAAGATGTATCTGAGTGATAAGGAAGAACGAGTCCAGATAATTCCACTCGTAGGAAATCGGAGACGAGCGGAAGGTCGCTGTTGAATGTAACAGACTGCATCCAGGCTGCATCCAGACCGCGGCCCAATAACTCAGAGCTGTGTTAGCAAACTTGTGGCAAAGCGTCGGGAAACGGGACCCATGCGAGAAAAACCACGCAGTGGACCCTCGAGAAGTTGTCTATCGGTGGACAAAATTGAGCACGTTTTGTGAATAAAAGTGTTATTATTGCCTTTTTTGTATTATATTTCCTATGATTCCAGAGGTATAGGACACCCTGTATGTATACATACACATACACACACACAGAAACACGCGTGATGGGGTAACACGTTGAACGTTTATTTAGTGCAACCGGCTGAGAACCGGTAAGAGACCGGCATGGAGTCTAATTTTCAAGAATGCAAATGAGGTCACCAAAGTTAGCACGAAGCAAGTAGATAGTCGAAGGTGATGTGTACGGCGAGGATGCGATAGAAATCGGTACAAAAAAACAACGGCGCCAGTCTAGAGCGGAATAATTTCCCTGCATCGCTCGGAGGTGGCGGGGGCGGCGGGGGGGGACAGATAATGTTGTGGAGTGATTAAACAGCAGCCCCAATGACGAAATGAAGTTAGAGGAGCATTAGACGGATATTTGGGGGGGGGTGCCTATTGTACTCGTGCGTAAGCGGTCGAGGGTTACGTAAAGTCAAAAGCGATTCGCAACTGAAGAAAGCATAAAGAATCGACAGTTTAAGTATGAAATCGTGGTGTAGATGCGAGAGTAATAGCCGTGGATATTATACTGCGATGGGATTCCACGTCTTTAGGGCATAAAAGAGTCACGACACGTAAGGTTACTATATTTTAACAAATTACATCGGGTTATTACATTTTTTTAATTTAACAAACGTTCAAACTGATTTATATTCACATTCACGCACGCACGAATTAACTTTTGAAATTAAATTAGGGCCGTTCTTTTTATTTGTAAAGTTTACAGCTGCCTTCTTAAACCAGCTTTAAAAAAAATCTGATTTATCTCGCACGTCCTTGAGTAGCAAAAAAAAAACAATAGATAAAATATTAACTTTAAAAAATAAAACATTTCAAATATGTTATTTCCAGTGTCAAAATAAATAATTAATAACCCAGTGTGTCCTGATTTTTGGGCCATTACCTATCTATAAAGTTATTAATTATGTTAGTAATAACTATGCATCCAGGTCTCATCATTGTTAAAAATTTACTTATATGCACATATACAATATATAGACACAATACAATCACACAAAACCATATACAATACGTAGACACAATAATACAAAATCATATACAATATATAGACACAACACATACACTAATACAACATCAAATATAATATAAAGACACAATACATACAAATACACAAAACCATATACAATACGTAGACACAATATATACAATAATACAAAGTTTAATGTCAAATATAATGTTTTCTTAATCCGGCCTACACATACAAAAAATAGATGGAAACGTCACCTGTTACTCTTACGTGAAATAAAAATAGACAGTGTTTTAATTTTGCCAATCGAGTGCAACAGTTGCTATGAACTACATTTCGCGTCGATCCATCAATGTCCACGATCGATCATTACCTTCAACACAATCGATTAATCACCCACATACAGCAGTATAATCGAGCGTGTGTCTATTATATCGGAGATAGCGTTTAAACACTACCCACCCCGTGACTGTACAGCGCATATAGGTATACACACACACACCTACACAACACGCAGTATACGCCATAAGACCAAGGCATCTCGGATAGTCTAAAGCAGTGGTTCTTCTTCTTAACCGGGGGGTGCACGCTGCACTCCCTGGGTGTGTGAGATGCCCTTTCTGGGGGATGCGAGGCATGGTTGAACTTTTTTTTGGAAGGTTAAATAATCGAAATCACAAATTAAGCACGGGCACTTGAGTACAACTTACTTTGTTTCATGAAACCAATATGTATTTATTCACATACTTTTTTTTTACGATCGAGAACCAATGGGATTTCGGTTGCAGTAGAGGTTAAGAACCATTGGTCTTCAGGAGGTGCTGTTAGCGAGCGCCTATTAAGACCGGAGTGGCACACGGGGCTGAGTTATGTGGCCGGCACAACGCCGGGCCGCCTTTGTATCCTCAGTGCTGATGTTTACGCACTACACAAGGCACTCGTTTGAGGCTGAGTCGACCTAGGGAATGCTCAGAACCGGCTCAAATCGCCGCCACTGTTCGTGGTTCGTGAACGGGAATCGAACTCGGGTCGCAGGGTTCGTAGCGCGATTCGCTAACCACCGCGCCACCGCTCTCCCGTAATAGCACTATGGGGTGTGCGTGTTTCCATTTGTTGTTAAATCGTTTGAAGACATTTGATAAATAAGTAATGGAAATCTATCTATTTATTTATTCAAGCCATACCCTAACCAGTATGGCGTAAGGGGACCTTCATCCAGCAGTGGATTGGACAAACAGATGTTTGATCTTGCAGTACTCTTGGCTATTTATACATACAAGGATATTATTATGATTAGTATTAGATAATTGTCATACCTATCAACCCCTTATCAGTGCCCTACCTTAATGCAGACCAATTCAGACCTTATTGGTCACCCCGTGCCCCTTATACATCTCAACGTTCATCCTACAAAGTCCCATCACAAGGGAGAGAAATACGAAGACATTTTTGTGCCCGTATTGAAACGGCTGTATGCCGTATGGACCTGAAAACTCAATTCTTCCCCTGTACAAGAATACGGGGTAAACCGTGTGAATTGACACGGTTTAGATAATTATTATAGTCGATGCCTGTGTGTCGAATACAAATGCCATTAGCGGGCGATCTTCAGTGATTTGAAACAGTTATTCTAGAGGCACATCAATACATCTTTATTTGCTCTTCATCGTGAAATAATAATTTGTTCGGGCACTTAGTTGCACGTAATCGGCGTATATCTGCGCCAAATCAAATTAGGCCTGCCGGTGGCACCGTTGGCTGTATAGCGCGCCGCTCACACCGGAACACCACGACCACATTCGTGCTCTTCTCGTGCAATTATCATCGACACGATCGCCGATTACGCAGTACGTGCATCACGCCGCAGCACTCTTGGAGAGAGAGGGGGGGGAGAGAGCGCATCCCGGTCAACCGCTACCATATCCAGACTGAACATCAACGCGTACGTGTGTGTGTGTGGCTTTCATAGGGGAACGGTGGTGTAGCGGTTAGCGCGCTGCGCTACGAATCTGGCGCCCCAAGTTCGATTCCCGCTCACGGCCAACACCAGTGACGTTTATCTGAACCGGTCCTGGGCCTCCCCTAGGTCGACTCAGCCTCAAATGAGTACCTGGTGTGGTGTGTGAACATCGCCACTGGGGAGACAAGGCGTCCGAGCGTGGTGCTGGCCACCCACCCTCTTGTGCGCCCTGCCTGACCTTCAGAGGTGCTCGCGAACAGCACATTCCCCAACAGTTTGTTAAAGGCTACACGGGGGATCTTTGTCTCCTTTGTTTTGTGTGTATGTGTCGACTTAGCCTTATATGAGTACCTGGTGTGGGGTGTAAACATTAGCACTGGGAAGACAAAGACGGCTGGGCGTGGTGTTGACCGTCCACCCCCTCGCCTGCAGTGTGGCTCTTCCTCATAGGTGCTCGCTCACAGCACTTGCCTTAACAGTCTGCTACAGGCTATACGGGGGGCTGTATTGTACAACCCACAGACAGCAAGAACAAAAGACAACACACGCGCACACATCAACCTTAGCCGCACACGTATCTACCGACAAAGAAAAAGATCCCCCGTGTAGCCTTTAATAGACAGCTCGGGCAAGTGCCGTGAGCGAGCACCTCGCAAGGCCGGCATGGCACGCGACGGGGCGGGTAGGCCAGCACCACGCCCGACCGCCTTTGTCTCCCCAGTGGCGATGTTTACTACACACCGCACCACGTACTCATTTTAGGCGGAGTCGACCTCGGGGAGGTCCAGGACCCATCCAGATTATCGTCAACTCGGGTCGCCGGGACACACAGCGCGGCGCGCTAACCACTACACCACCGCTCCCCGGCACACACCTCCCCACCGAACCCACCACACCGGGGCAGAACTTGGGCGGCGCACCCAGACTCCACCTTACTGCGGCTTGCCGCGTGGAGGAGGCGGGACGCTCCCCTCCCCCCTGCCCCCCTCCCTCCTCCCACTGTGTGTGGGGGACCCGGTACAGGTGAGCGGCTATAGCGGAGCGACGAGCACGCGCTCACAGGTAGCTTCTCAACCCCCCCTCCCTCCCCACCACCACCACCACCACCCAACCACCCCAACACCCCGCAGGCTATTACCCGCCCGCAGCATCTTCGGCAGCTGTTCGTGCATAGCGTGTGCCCGGTATAGCGCTCGTTCCCGCCCTGCAGCAGTAAGCAGCGACAGCAGCAACAGCAGCAGCGGCAGCAGCAGCAGGGACATCAACATCATCAACAATAACATCAGTATCATCATCAGTATCATCATCAGCAGCTCCCCGCGGCCGCGTGTGCTGGCCGGCTGGCTGGAATCAGAGAGGCGGGCAGGCATGTCATTGCTGCACAGCAAGACGGAGTGGCAGGTACGGCTCGAGCGCTTGTGGAGAGACGGGGACGAGAGGGCCTTTGTGAAAGTCGTGCTCGCGAGTGAAGAGTTCCACGTCGTCGCATTGCTGATGCGATGTCGGGATTGCGCAATGGTTGCTTGGCTATTTTTTTTAACGAGGTTCAGTTTATTTTTTTCCTACGCGTGTGTTTTGTGTGTGCTCGGTTACAGCACTTGCCCCAACAATCTGTGGAGGCTATACGGGTGATCTTTGTATTTATTTATTTGTGTGTGTGTGTGTAAAATACGTGTGTGTGAGTGTGAATGTGAGGGCAAAGGAGCGACGCTCACAACAACGAGCAGAGCGCTGGGCGGATAAACTCAGAAAATTTAACACGTAGGTTTTCGCGACCAATATTATTCATAATAAAAGGGGTTTTTTGGGGGGCTAAATCGCTATCTAACCCGTAAAATCTTTATTATTAAAACTCAGAAAGTTTTCACAGTCGGGAACACAGTCGGTGCATCTGCCAGTCATCTCAGTCAGTGTCAGTCAACCCATGGCACCTGGGGGTCTGTCCCGTGACCTTCTGCCAGCAGCGAGCCTTCGTCACATCAGGTGCTCCCAAAGAGCACCTAGCCTGGCACAATCGCCGTGGTGACGAAGTAGGTTTGGCTTTCGGTTTATTTTGCCACAGGTGAAGCCGACTGCAGAGTAATGAATGCCCATGTTCGTTGGGGACCAGGGTACACTTGTTACTACATTAAACAACAAATTGGACACACACACACACACAACACACGTACACACCAAACAAAAAAACAATTCGCAAACAATTGCTGCATGGTCAAGTTCCGAATGGCAGGACAGAAGCGCGTCAACATCACGACGCAACCCAGCACACGGAGTAACAGCCCAGCAGGGAGAGAGAGCATCAACTCCACAAGGAAATGTCGGTGCAATGCGGACGTCGGTTAAGATTGCAAAACAAACGAAAACGAAACATTTCTTTAGTTGAAGTCTGCAAAAGGAGAGCGATCAGTCGCGTGTGTAGGTAGGTAGATATGTTTGTGTGTGTGTGTTTGTGTTATGGGGAGCGATAGTGTAGCGGTTAGCGCGCTGCGCTATGAACCTGGCGACCCGGGTTCGATTCCCGCTCACGGCCAACACCAGTGACGATTATCTGAACCGGTCCCGGGCCTCCCCTAGGTCGACTCAGCCTCAAATGAGTACCTGGTGCGGTGTGTATACATCGCCACTGGGGAGACAAAGGCGGTCGGGCGTGGTGCTGGCCACCCACCACCTCGTGTACCGTTCCGGCCTTCATAGGTGCTCGCTAACAGCACTTGCCCCTACAGTCTGTTACAGGCTATATGGGGGATCTTTATCTTTGTTTTGTGTTATGTTAAGGACTTCCTCTCGGTTTACTCTGCCTCAGAGGAGTTCCTGCTGCGGTGTGTAAACGTCGCCAAGAGAGAGACAAAGGCGGCCGGGATTGGTGTCGGCCACCCACCCCCTCGTGTGCCGTTCCGGCTCTCATAAGTGCTACCCCTAAAGGCTCTTAAGGCTATACGGGGGAATGTTAGTCTTTGCATAAATGTATTTGGGGAGCGCTGGTGAAGCGGTTAGCGCACTCCGCCACGAATCCAGCGGCCCGCGTTGGATTCCCTCCCACGCCCAATAACAGTCGCGAATATCTCAACCGGTCCTGGGACTCCCCCTAGGTTGACTCAGCCTGAAATGAGTACCTCGTGCGGTGTGTTAAATGATCAGCGTTGGGGAAGGCAAAGGTGGCCGGGAGTGGTTCTGGTCACCCACGCACTCGTGCGCCATGCCGGTCTTCATAGGTGCGCAACAGCTCTGAAGGATGCGGGGTGGGGGGGGATCTGTGTCGTTGATTTTATATGAATGTGTGATGTCTTATATGAAGACACGTGTTGGATTCCCGCTCACGGCCAACACCAGTGACGATTATTTGAACCGGTCCTGGGCCTCCCCTAGGTCGGCTCAGCCGAACATGAGTACCTGGTGCGGTGTGTAAACATCGCCACTGGGGAGACAAAGGCGGTCGGGCGTGGTGCTGGCCACCCCCTCGCGTACCGTTCCGGCTTTCATAGGTGCTCACTAACAGCACTTGCCCCAACAGTCTGTTCAGGCTATCCGGGGGATCTTTATATATATTTTATATGAAGACATGACATACAGGTTGTAATATACACGTGTGTACAGGTATTTGCCGGCGTGTGTTGCTGTTTGTTTGTTGGCTGGGTCACGTCGCCCGCATGTCCAGCCACCGCATGCCCAAGCAGATTTTGTTTGGCCGGATAGAGGGGGCTAAACCGGGCGTGACACGGGCTCGAGGAGAGATGGACTGACGCGGTACAGGAGGGTGTGTAGCTGAGCGGACTTGCCGATGACTGGTACCAGCGGTGTCAAGATCGGCTCGTGGAGGACGCTGCTGGGCAGTTGGAGGCAGTCCCCCCCCCCCAGCAACAACGGAGAGCAGATGAGCGACGCTCACAATAACGAGCGGAGCACCGAGCGAATAAAACGCAGCAAGTTGGCACAGTGGGAATACGGGTGGCTAATCTGCCAGTCTCCTCATTCAGTCAACCCACGGTACCTTTCACACTTCACGTGGCCTCAAAATGATACCTAGTCTGGCACAAGCGCCGTGCCGACATCCCCCGCCACTTATTGACGATCGACGGCTGTTGATGTTGTGCTAGACGTGTGTGTGTGTGTTTTAATCAGGCGTGTGTGGCTGTGAATCTTTGTCCGTCCTATCGCGGAGTAGCCGGTCGAGGAATCACACCCACACAACATTTTGCTCTTAACTTACCACTTAATTGAGCACGAGTTAAGCGAGAAACACACATCCTTGGCGCCATTGACGCAACTGGATATAACTTAAAAGATAAGGTGCATGCTGTAGGCGTAACATCTGGGGAAGGACAGCGAATTAACTGGGAGGAGTATCCAATGCAACGTTCTTGAGTAAATATCGTGGACAGAGGCACGTGATATGAAGGGAGGCCATGCTTGCAGACGGATTGTAGAAATAACGCGGTACATAGAGAGAGACTTTTTTTTTACTTTTAAACAACTTTTATTGCCGCCGCCAGCAGCAACAGCACAGGAGGCGATTTCGATATGAAATACACGAACAAAGTCACCAGCACACAAATGAAAATAAACGCTACAAATCCACGCGCTGTGGCACTAAAAGCACCGCGCACAACACGAAAGTCGCGTGGTTGTGGTGGTCATCGCGCACGTCACGTTGCGTTCATGCATCGTGTTACGATACAATTCATAATAATTCTGGTGCATATATAGACAATGTGTCTGTGTATATTGGTAATCGACGTATCTAGATAAATTACTGAACTGTGTATACGGATCACTCTAAAAGAAAGATAGTATGTAAATTACTCCTTGGTTCTTTCGGTAAAGTCACGTAGAAATAAAATACATAAAATAATAGAATACGACGGCCATCAGGTAGAATGTAAATTAATTAGGCAAATCCATGCATTAATTACTTTTCGTCTATGCCTTATATATTTGTATAGCCAATTTAAAAGCCCGGTTTAAATGTTATTCACACGCTGCGAAATTTGTATTTGACGAATTGTAGAAAAAAACTCCCCCTCTGAATACAAAGCTGTGCCTACTGTGAATTAACTTGGAATTAAATTCCAATCGAAGTGTCTGCGCAAAAAAGGTGGCTGAGCTCCAGCAAGTGCCCGCCACGCCCTCCACCGCAGCCCAAACCCCTGCTGCTGCTGCTGGGGTGGGTGCGTAACGTATTTTCTTTAACGACGATAAGCTCCCGGTAACGATACACATTATAGAACGCTCGTAGTGCATTGAAATACTGACTGCCTCGCGGTCGACTCATTGCTTAAGCTCGCGGATTCTTGGATGAGAACTGCAACCAACCCCCCCCCCTCCCTCCAGCCATAGTGGAGTTAAGCAATCGGTGCGAGTGTAATTTGCTCGTTCAGGAAACCCATTTACGGACAGCAGAATCCCAACATTCATTAAAATCCATCGTAAACTTTACGTGTTACAACACGTTTGCTCTAACTGTTACCATATACGATAATTTATTGAATGATGTATTATTATTATTAACCAGCGTATCGGTTAATCGCAGCGCTGTGGTGGCGATAAGTTAACTCCCTCGCCTGGTGTGCAGGAGGTCGTGGGTTCGATCCCGGCCTTGATGCCTACTGCTGTATAGTTGGAGTTTGCGTGTCTCTCTGTCGCTCATCACCATCACGGTGGCTAGAAGATGTCAACTCCTTCGCCTGGTGTACAGGAGTTCGTGGGTTCGATCCCGGCCTTGATGTCTGCTGCTGTATATTTGGAGTTTGCGTGTCTCTCTCTCTCTCCCTGGTCGCGTGGATTTTTCTCCGGGTCCTCCGGTTTTTCTCTGCACATTTAGAATCAACATCACGCGTTTAGAGTATTTGGTTTCTCATAAATGTCCACGTGATAAGCCACTTCTTTGAGCTATCATTTGTGGCCAGGTCGCTTCTGAAAAAAAAGCTGTATAGCTCAGTGGGCCTTACCTGGTAAAATAAATAGTAAAAAAAAATGTTTAGAGTCACTAATCAATCAATTGATTGTTTAATGTTTGTTGTGAGCATCATCATCTTGTTAATGATTTATATATGGAGATGCAATGAGTCATGGGCGTTTGAGAATTTTTGAATGTGTTCCAGGAGTTATCATTCTGTCTCGTCTTCGGTTTGACTTTGTATTAAGTTTGTCTTCATATCTGCGATCGTCTAAGAAAGTGGTTCTTAACCTTTACTGCGGCCTTGCGCCCCTTGGCTCTCAATCGTTATTGATTTGATCATGTTCATAAATACAGAGGTTTGATGAAACGAAGCAGTCGTACTTACCACAGGTTTGGAACCGCTGCTCTCAGCAGTTGATTCCCACGCTTGATTGTTTAATGGTTTTGTACGGAATGTTGGACTCTCTCGTGGGGGTGAATTGAGTCATCGGCGTTTTAATATTTT